ATGTTGGTTTAAACCGTGACAAATAAAGGAAATCAAATAATTGATTATGGGCCCCCCTCAAATGCCCGGCGTTTCATTTCCCAGCCCCCAATTAGTCACGAACAGACATCACATCATCAGTATTCTCGAAGGAAACCCGATCTTTACTGTACGGATTTGTAGATAAAAATGTGATGTCATAGAATCATTTATTGCTTTTATAGCTTACTGTTCCAATAGTACATACCAAGCAACTAATGTATTTACTATGTTTTTTTATTAAAAAGTCCATCGAAGCGGAACTGATAAAAGAATTAATGGATACACAAAAGGTAATGTATGTGTATTCTCCTTCTGTGCCTACAGTCATCGGTGTTGTACGACACTTGTTGTCTGAAAAAACTGGTGTTGTCACTTACTGCACCCATCCCAACCGCGATCACTAATGCCTCCACCACAATAAACACGATCATCAACACCCACCCAGTATTCATTTCATTTCTACCATCAAATGTGGTTCTTGTTGATTCGACTAATGACACCGCAATTAGATTATTATCTGTCATCAGGAGATTCTCTATTTTAATCGAATCCCTCTATTTCAATTGATAGGTTGTGTTGATTTAACTTAGACGGGTAGATCAAATTGAAGGTAAGGGCTCATCACTTTCTTCTACTTGCCTATTAAAAGCATAACCTTAGTGATTACCTCCAAGGAGAGTTGGCAGCTCACCGAATGTGACGGATGACAGCCAACCTGGAAAAGCAGCGGGTTACGAACTTAGAGTAGTTAATGATTTAATCAAGATGCCACATATACTGCTAAAGACGGAGCGTTGTATGTACATAACACTGGTTTGTGATCAAGCATGTTAACAACTCGAGAACATTAACAAAAGAGTAGTGGGTGTTCGGGGACGAATTAGAACTATGTGGTAAAATTAATAACGGAAAACAGTAGGAAGAATAATAACAGTGATGTTTGTTTTTTCGATTGTTTCTTGCATCGTGTTTTATCCACACCGTGATTGTGAATTCCCTCCAAAAATCCACCTACCTTGATTTGGGCTACCTGGCAGTATTCCGCCAACAAACAAATCGTGGAACTTTCTATGTTTTATAAAGATTATTGTACTGTGATTTAATTGTCTAAACAGTCCCACAGAGCACATTATCAAATAGAACAAGGAGTGGCGAACAAGCTCGTTTTCAGTGATTTGTAGTCATACCAAATACATCACAATAAATATTACGCTGCTTATAAACAAATCAGTATTCAATCATAAAAACGCAAACAAATGTTTCGGGAAAGGGGAAATTACCTCATGGGTTATCTGGGCCAAGTTCATCTTGGGACCGGATATGGAATTCTCAATGATCACATAATTGTTAGGTCATCCGATCGTTGGAATCACTCGGACTATGGGGTGTATAGGGGGTGGGCCAGGGGAGCTTAATCGCCTGCACAAATTGTTTTGGGCACACAAAGGGGGGGTGGTGCAGCCGAATTCCTACCGCTTCCGCTGTGGAAGCTGTGTGAGGACAAGATAAAACGCGTTCCCCAATTTCCCGCCTCCAATTATTTCGTTAAACCTCACCCACTGAGCAGTGCACAGAAAACATTTTTGTGTCAGCTTTTACGGATTTTGTACAACATTTGTATCGTTTCACTCAAGATCATACTGGTCCACTGAAAATGTTTTGCTTTTTTCGATGAATTCTATTTTGCAATTCTTCTCCGGACCAGGGTGGCGATCTCTCGATCGAACTTGAACGTGCCAAGTCAAACACAAATGCTTCATTACATCGAATGGAGGAATCGATCAAACAACATTTGATGGAGTTGGAACGTCGGGTTCAACAACAGTTTGGCGAATTGCAGACACAATGCAATCGGATCTCTAGTGATTGTGTGGACGAGCGGAATCGTCTGGAGGAGCGCACAATCCAAGCAGTAAATAGTATGATTGATGGATTTCAACAGCGTATTGTGAGTGAAGATGTCCGAGAGTGATCACGCTGTTTGCTCTGTAATGTATTTGCATATGTTCTTTGAGCGTGTTTTGGTCAAACTTTAGAATAGAAGAAGCAATTTAGAAAAGAATCATCAGCATACTTGTGCAGTAAAGTGAATTTCTCTGACTGCCGTAAACGTTGCAACAGGTTAAACGGGTGTACAGAGCTGTATGGTAATCAGGGATTAGATCTGCCTTGAGCGAAAGGAGCGTGAACAAGTGTGCTCACTGACACACAACGAACACAGTATAGCCTTCCGTACGTACTTCTTCAAAAACTTCATTCGCTCTTTCTTGCACTACTTACTATGCTTCTTCAGTGACAACGAAAGGGACACTTATCGGTTAGTTGACATAACCCTTATCGTCGTGAACTAATTGGTATCAAGTTTATTCGGGTACCATCTTGAACCTAATCCGTCTAATCCCTCGTTCTTTCTCTGCGGTTCTTCATACCTCACCTTCACGTTACCTTTTAAACCCCAACCGAGTTTCTTTACCCCCAAAAACGGAAATTACAATCAACATGCGGTGAGATAGTTTGATACTAGTGTAGTAGTGAGGGTCTACTCAATCAGTGAGCAATATGTCTAGTGCATGCACGAAAAGCGGCTGGAGGGTTCTCACGTGATTTAAAAATGAAAAAGACATCCAGGAGAATATTCTTGGATTCAATAGTATACCAACGGAGGATGCGGACAGACCGTTCGACTGCTTGACCATGAACATTGTCTGTTTCCCAGTATGCGTTTCATTCTATGTGACCTGATTTATCCAATACCCATGTTAATTTTACAGTCCGACACTAGTCGTGTGCATTCATTGCCACTGGTAATGCGCAACATGTGGCCTCAATCCTAATTCATTGTGAAAATGTGCATGTCGGTCTTAGTTATGCAGTTCTCTGTAGCGACTAAGGAGGTCAGTCGTACTAAAGCAGAACAAGAACGCGGAATTTTCGAAGGATTCTGGTGGAAGTCAACTTTGTCGACCTTCCCCAGTTAACCTAGGCTTGCGCGTGTATTTTACTACTTCAGAACCTTTCTGTGACAGGTTTGGATAAAGGACAAAGTTGAGTTGCATTCGCGAGCGGAGAATCATAACAAAGTGTCCAGTATCTTGTAAACGACATTTATCAGAGTGATTTGTGATCAATGAATAAAAAAATATACCTCACAGATCGATGAAATCAGAGGAAAAATCAATAAACCAAATATTTTTAAATCACATACTTTGCATTTGAGAAAGCGTCCGTTGTCATTGTCGTTGCCCTAAGGCCTTGAGCCCCAAAGTCCGCTATCGTGAACCCTGTCGCCACCACTTCTTAGCGTCGGTGGTTTATAGCGTCGCTGGGGAGGTGCTTGATACGATGCCCATCATATAAGGACAGTATATAATTAATGATTTCAAAGTTTTGAGGCTTAGGCTGTCGGTTTTCATAAATCAACAGCAAGTTCTTAGGATTTATTCAATGATACTATCGTGATTATGAAGCTTAACCCCTGCGTTGTTCTTGTTGTATGTTTTCGCTCTCACCATTCATTTCCTTCGTTTGTTTTATCGTTATTTCATCAAAGGGGGCAGACAGAAGATGGTCACGAAAACCGGCGCAGAAAACTGCGAGATTGACAATTTTCTAAATTAAAAAAACTGGAAAGGTTAACAGAAATACTTGCTAAACACTGAACGTAAGCACACGGCGAAACGAATATTCAAACAGTGGTATTTCCCGAGCGGGAAAGTCGTGAGGTGTTGACGGAATGGGACCACGAATTGCTAGACAATGGACTGACTGCTAGCCTCCTGAATTTTTGTGTAATATTTTGCTAACATTAAGCATGATGTGTGTGTTATTTGTGCACCGTGAATCTGTCAAGGAGGTTGAACAAAAACAGTTGCGCCGGACTAAAAAATACATGAAAATGCATGATTAATGGTTGTTAAAAGTGATCCTATCACAACCTGTATCATCCATGACAGGGCGAGTAGGGCAGAAAATTTTAACCGATGGTTTTTTACGAGAGAATAGCAAGATCCTGACAAAAGATGGGATTAATCTATTTCCCGTTTCGATAGTTTTGGAATTTCTATCTTACGGGAATTAATCCTTTCCTTCACAAACACCGGTTTATACAGTGTGTATCCCCTTGAACATTCCGCTGCATCTTTGCATGAGGCAGTGACAGTGATTTCATAGTTAGCAGAATGCGGAAAGTAATACGAAGATAAAATGGCCAATAACAACGGACATTAAAAAAGAACACAAATAGAACGAAACGGAGTGGGGATAAATCACCAAGGCAACGCTAATGCAACTAATCATCCATGTTGTTTACATATTTCGGGTTTGGAGTCGTCAAAAGTCAGAGCTGTGGTGTATTTCAGTGATTTTTGTGTTCGTTGTGTTTCAGATGACTTTCAATGAGGGGGTCGGAGTAGTGCAGATTTTATACAGGCGCCAATCGACTTTCTGTATTTGACCACCGATGTATCCGAAGCATTGCTCGTGTGTAGTGGGAAAACCGGGTGAGTAATGACGAAGTTCGTCGTCGTGTGTTGGGTGCGGATACTCGTTCTCTAACAGAAGTATACGCTTTACACCGCCTCCGATGGCTTGGTCACGTATTGTGCATGCCTGCCCGTCGACTACCTTTCTGTGCTCTCTTCGCATGTGTCGGGCAAGGCTGGAAGAAGCTCCGCGGTGGTTAGACCATGACATGGGCTAGAGGCATGAAGAAGCTGGCTTCGGTTAGTGCAGCCCGCCTTCCAGGTTGCGGCCCAAGGGATGAGGATTGTAGTTGGTTAGAGACGCTGAGAGATATGGCCCAGAATAGAAGTCAGTGGCGCGAATGCTGTACGGTCTGCCTGTCGAAATCCCGTACCCCGTAAAAACAACAAATAACACAAAAAAATATAAAAACATGTGCAGTGAAACACAAAATTTTGTTATCCCAGTTATCTTCCGTTTCCCCGTGTTTAACTGTCTCACCCCCTTTTCACTCTGTTCTGTACCCCAATCCACCTATCCCGTTTTATTGTTATTGTTGTTGCGTTGGCACCATGCTTTTCTACAAGCCGGTGGTATATATACAGATATCGTGCAATCAACTATTCCAGTCCTCGCCACCCAGTCGATCACGTGAAAGTGTTACATTTATCGTTGACTTTCTTAAGCCAAGATGTATTGCTCTATTCGGTGACATACGTGCTCCTATGTACTACCCATGAACATGGCTGCACATCCACACTTGAGTTCGTAAATACAGTTTGATTTGGCTTAAGGGTGGGGAATGTTTTTTACCGATGTCTTTAGTAATCGGTTAGTAGGCAAGACAACGACCTGGTCGAATGCGTCGTGGACGTACTTGACGACGGAGTTCAAAGGCTTTCCAACTAATCGGCTGACATCATCGCCGTTGTATGGCAGCTTTAGTAAAGCTTTCATTTTTGAATTAAACGTCGACATTACTTTACAATATCTGACGATGAATGCAAATGGATATTCATTTGCCGATAGTACCTTCTTCCAGAAATCGCAGGAGGACTAAAAGGACAGTACTATTGTATTACGTATGCATTATTTATGCTACACTGATACTAATACTTCGAATTGGACATAGTTCACAAACTTTATTTCATTTTCCGGTTTTTCACTGACCACTTCCGACTTTTCAGACTAATGTGGAACGGAAGACAGAAGAGGAACAAATTGACGAAGAATTAACCGGTCGCGTCGAGGACTTGGAAACCGAGCAGGCAAATTTCAGACAACAAGTTCTCAAAACTTTCAAAGTGAGACGATGAATTTGCTCATATGGTTTCCGTTAGTGAAATTTGGGAAGAAATCTTAACGATGTAGGATTTGTAGAGATTTGTACTGATGAAGCATTAGAGTTCCCCAAAATGACTATAAAACGAAAAATTATATATCCCAAACATCGTTTACCCTTGATCCATTTGACTAAAACAAGTAACACAATATGTGCAGAATCGACGTTGGTCATCAATTTCGCGTGCTCTCAACCGACTGTCTACGCACATTAAATACGTCAGAATGTTATCAAACGAATACCATGTATACCATGTATATCTACGTAATTACATAGGTTTAGGCGGAAAGAAGTGGACTGTTGAGTCATTACCAAAGTCATTTGAAGAGGATTCAATGAGGAGAGGGATAATGGTTATAAAAATTCACAAAAACAAGATGCGAGCATTAAAACAGTTACCTAATGGAAAACGATCAACCGTGGAGGAAAGCGAGTTGTAGATGGTTACGTATTACGAAATAGATACAACCATAAATTAATAAGAACGGACGTAGAAAGGTAACGGAGTAGACAGTTGATCATTTAAGTGGGTCAAAGAGTCACGTACTACGGAAATGAGAAGAATGAGGTGCCAATGATGAGGCAAGGGAACTTTCTAACAATTCCGGATTACACAGGAAACGAACTCTGTAGAACGGGGTTCTTCCCAATCCAATCTTGTAACGTAGAGGATAAAAGCTGTGGAAATGTAAATACTGGCCTGTTCATGTACACTTGTTCTGAATTGAAATCAGGAGTATTTCTTTCTTCAGTCCTGTCAGTTGTAGATCTAGTAATGTAATCAGCCATTAGTCTCGCATTTCAAAGGGAACTTGATATTGTTGTGCATCCCGTTTACTTTGCGAAAAAAAGATCATGGCATCTGCTTTGTTTGAGGTTATTACTACTATTTCATGGATGTAACGGCGGTGGAATACAGAGAATTTGACCTCACCTTCAATGTTGTTCTCAAGTTTCGACATGTATATATCAACCAAGTTTAGTCCAAGTGAGCCTCAGCCACTCCAGCTATCTGACGACAAATTCTATACAGAGCTGTTCAGAAACTGACTCCCTTTCAATGTAGCGTTAGGAATATTGTTAAGAAGCAAAGAATCATGGGAAACATCACATGGTCAGTCACTCAAAATGATGCACACTGGGCATAAGTTGAAAACCTCAAGAAATGTTTTTTTATACATCCCTCAAGGAATATGTCGCTTTGTTGCGAGATGTTCTGATGTCTCAAGCTCGTGTTAGATATGTGTGTGTGCGCGCAACAAATGAGATAAATAGGGAACAACATGGCAGAATTATTGAAAAAAGATATGTGAACACATGCGTAGCATCAGTGAGATACTATGATAAAATCATTGATAGTGAATGAAATACAGGTGTGTGTGTGTGTGTTGGTGTATGTGTTGGTGTAAGTGTACGGACCCAACCAGCAGATCATATTCTCAGTCGATGACGGGTATTTGTTACATTATAACACAGGATAAGTGCTATCCACGGCCGTGGAAACAAATTGTGGCACATGGGTTCTGCTTTCCATGCAACTCCGGTTTTATAACATGATTTTCCAAGAATTCCACACCAGTCATAATCCTCTCACACCTCCTCATCTGGCGTGAACCTCCAGTGTTGTGAATTCAAGAAGTGTTCGTTTGAATAGACTTCTGTCTGTATTTCCCCCACGTTTTCTACGACGTTATGATTGTTACTGCGTGGGCGCCGTGCTTATTCTCAAGCATATATATATTTCAGATAGAACAAGGAGTGGCGAACAAGCTCGTTTTCAGTGATTTGTAGTCATACCAAACACATCACAATAAATATTACGCTGTTTATAAACAAATCAGTATTCAACCATAAAAACGCAAATAAATGTTTTGGGAAAGGAAAAATAACCTAATGGGGCCAACCACTGGGGCTAATTTCACCTTGGGATCGGACGTGGAATTCTCAATTATCACATTGTTAGGTCATCCGATCGTTGGAACCTCTAGGACTATGGGGTGTGTAAGGGGTGAGCCAGAGGAGCTTAAGCGCGTACACAAATTGTTTCTGGGCCCACAGAGGGGGGTTGTGCAGCCGAATTCCTGCTGCTTCCGCTGTGACTAGCATACGACAGCGAACCTGCCTTGATGATCGACCACGAACCCGATACAGGGGACGGAATGCCTCGGTCACATTCACAGTGTGACTGATTTATATCTAAACAGCGTAATATTTATTGTGATGTGTTTGGTATGACTACGAATCACTGAAAACGAGCTTGTTCCCCACTCCTTGTTCTATTTGAAATGTGCTCTGTGGTACTGGTTAGACAATATATATATATATATATACATATATATATATAAATTCGGTACGGAACCCCTAGATGCCTAACAAAATCTAGCTAACCAAACAGTTCATAGACGTCTCAAAGCTTTCCATCTGCACGGGGCACTCACTACAATAGCACTTAACCTGGTATGAAACGGGGAGTAGTGGTGGTTTAAAAAAGAGTGACTTGTGCTTTGACGCTATCTGATTTTGGGATACGCCATAAAAAATATTTCTTAAGTAGTTTGTGATGAATTGTTTCCCAGCATTCCGAATAACCTCTCTTCTTTGAGTTGAGCTGTAATAGACAATGGCTGCCATTTAATCTATCTACTTGTTCTATCAAGTACAAGTGATTGTTCGTATATTGTTCCTTCATTTTTATTGCCCTGCTTTTCACTTTCTTCTTACAAAATTCTTTCTTTTGTGGATCAAAATGTTAGTTTGATCTCACAACATTCACAAACTTCCATAGTGGTTTGAAAATGTTGGGGTTTCGGAAAGTTTATCGCCCCAGTATGTATGGTAGTTACCAGAGATTTGACAAAAGTTCTAAAATCCTGATTTATCCCATGGCATACGCATTGTTCAAAGCTGTCGTTGGAGCTGTACAGAACGAAAGCGAGAATATACACTAAGTATGTATAATGGTGATTAGACAAACTGCGCTTTAAAGTTAAATATAGCAGCTCTACAAGTCGTGTACAGTGAGTCCAAACGAAACTTTCCAATAAGTTTTTCGTTACCAGCTAAAATGATACACTACAGTTTCAGTTTATACTGGGATCTTCACTCAACAGTACAGTTCATTAGAGCATTTCAAATAAGACAGGTTGCCGCGACCACAAATCAATACCGCTATCTTTTCACGCAGACGAGGCTGATGATTCCACATTCAGAACTCGCACAAGATGAACCGAATACGCATGTATTCTCCCCAGGTGGTCCTAGTTTGATACATGTTTGGAGTTTGCATAGACGAAGATGGAGATTCGTCACGAATGAAACAATTGTGTTGAGTGTCCTACGTTCTAAGTTCAACCGATTTGTCTTAATTGAACAACAGCTGTTCGTGATCACGTGACTTAACTGTTCTGCAGTTCAACAAAAAACGATGTGTAATAAGGTGAAAAAAATAACATGATGTATACCTTTCTCGGACAATCCATAGTGAGCGAGTACATGTAGAATTATTACACAATAGCCCAGTTATTCCAACTTTCGAATTAGGTCAATGGTCCTTACAACAGCGACCATTAGCTCAACAGTCCGGCGGTCACAGACAATCATCGTATTACTGTTGTTGTTCTGTGCTGAGATTGTGCACTACTTCCTTTCCATTATTACAAGTAAAAGTTGATACCAAAACAGAAAGAAAATCGGTTTTGATTGAAAACCAGACACTTGTTTGAATTGAATCGATAGATAACACATAATGGTCTGGTTTCTACTGGTACCCGCTCCCCCACCGGTCAGCATTGTTCATCGTAACCCAGACGAGAACAATAGACTGTCAGAGACAGACCACTGAGAATTAATGAAATGGAAATACTTTGCAAGTGACCCACGAACCAATCATGTTGTCTAATTTGTCGCATTTCTAGTTGTTTTCGCGAAACTCAGTTCACGGTTGAACGAAAGTGGATTTGTTTGTGTTATAAGGGGAAAACAAAAACCGTGATATTAAAGTTACTTGTGCAGCTTACCCCGTCCCCCTCACCCCCAGGGGCCACAGCGGTTAGAGAATAGGCTCTTCAGTCTCTGTTACAGCTGTTACAGTGGTGAATGAATTTAATAACATGCACACCGATCAAGTTGACTGTCAGTTGTGCTCAGTTTTCACATTCACAACTCCACCAATTTGAATCCAAGGTAACAAAAATAATGAAAAGGTCATAATCCAGATGAAAAAATAATTATTTTTACTCGCAGTCAAGTTTTGACATTTAATTTGGCTAATACAATCAGCATCCAGACAATAGAATGCATATAGCGATAGATTTTAAAATATTCTTATATATGCTGGCTTTTTGGGGCGCATAACTAGTTATGTTCCATATAGCGTTGTATGACGCTTCTTACTCAATTCCATCGACCAGTGATCACATGCTAAATGAGTCCCAGTTATTCAAATTCAGATATTGTGCTCATCTGGCACTGGCTGGAAACACTGCGGGATATGGCACCGACCCGAACTCGTTGGTGTGAATACATTCTTTCTTGTGTACGATCCCAAAAATAAAACAAGAACAAAACAAACTCAAAACGGCGCGCAGTAAACAAACAAAAGAAAATTGTTATTCCCCAATTTAACTGTTTTTTCCCTCATGTTCCTATACCTTGCGCTAAACCCATGTGTATTTTGGCGCCGTATCTGTAAAGTTTGGTGTTATATATACATATATATATATATATATACAATACTGGTCGATTGTGATGCACTAAAATATTTTCCTTATGATCCAATGGAGTTTCATTACATTTATCATCTGTATTAATGCTTTAGGTATGGACAATGATTTATATCTTGTCTACTTCGATCTACGTAGTTTCTAGGCTGCATGAATGTTAATTAAATGTGCCTGATCTTCAGTGCTAAGATTAAATGATCTCAAGTATGACAACGTAATGTATTCTAATAGGAATGACTCAAGAATTATCCTAGATTATTTCCGTAAACCCTTGCCATCTCGGTTATTTGTTATGAGGCACTATTCTATCTAATGTGTAATCCATTATAGCAACTCTATTCGATAACCGAATGACATTTTTTCGCAACCTGGCGAAATTGCATTAAATAAGGTTTCATAATAATAATCTAAGTTTAATATCTAACTCACTGAATTCGAGAAATACCACTTCAATCAAAGTCAACCTTGAAATCGAGGTCATTTTTGTGCACTGCTTTCGTATTGTTCGTATTGTTGTCACTATAATGAAGCAAGCAGCGCTCAAAACCAAAAGTTCTCGCTATCTTGGTGAATAGGACAGAAATAGAAGTACACAAGCACACAAGCTGGGAGTTTCCATATCACATCTTGCCCAATGCTTTCACGTTAACAAAAGCACAATTTACAGGATAATCCAAGGAATAAAAACAACTAGATCAGTTTGTGGAGGCCCTAAACCGAGTACAACCAAACAGAATTACGACCTAATTCGTATTACTCCGAAAAAACATTATGGGAAATCGTTGGCGTCTGTTCATCGAGATCTTCCTCGCCATTCATGCTCCCTTCTGCAAAGAAAAATGAAAACATTTAAACTGAGGCAGGTTTCAGCTGACGTCAAGCCAGCATTGAACGCGCAGCAAAGGCTGGCTCGTATTAATTTTGCCCGAGAATTCAAATCTCGACGTGCGTCATTTTGGCGATCGATTTATTTCGCCGACGAGTGCATGGTGTACGACGAGCCTTGGAAGGCTCACAAAAAAGTCATTTGTGGTTAGAATTTCACCAAAGGACTTATTTCACCAAATGAAAGAGTTTCTCACCCGTCGAGATTTCTCATCTGGGCAGGGATAAAACATGATCAGCTTTTTCGGTGGACATCAGTCAAAGGCACCATGAATAGTGGGAAAGTTGTATCAGTAATGACGAAAATGTTTCCAGAATTTCATGAAAAAAATCGTCTGCAAAAGTTATCGTTTTTCAGAATAACGCTCCGTGTCATGTTTCATGATAGGATTGTAAATTTATTTAAGCAGTCTGGTTCACTTATTATTTGCTTTTAGACTTCAGAAAAGATGCGTGACTCTAAGGTCCAGTTCATGCAACTTCCCTCTAATAGCCCGGATCTCAAAGTGATTGGAAATCTGTTTTCTGTTTTGAAAAGAGTTCAGTGTGCCACCTATACATTGGACATTAGAGGCAAAAGTGAGATACGTAATGGAGCACAAAATAGAAAATGACTCCATGCCGAAGTTGGTGGATTCGATGCCGAAGAGCCTTGAAAAAGTCCTCAAGAACAAAAGCAGACCAATCGACCATTAGTGTACACAAACTTTACATCTTATTTATTATTAATGTTAATTTGCTGTAAATAAAACGGTTCCATCCTCCTTAGTTACCTCTTAACTCATTATGGTCTAGATCAAACACTACTGACGAAAGTGGAGTATCCGCTACATTCTGAACCATTCCATCTGCTGAGTATGAACGAATCAGGAAACTCAATACTATAAAGACTCACCAAGGCTTGTTTATTATAATTTGGAAAAACAATTTACTTCAGTATAAATGCTGTTGCCTATAAGAACCCACAAGTGTTTCACAGGGACCCGCTGCTTCAGTTTTGATTAGACCTATATACATACATATATATATATATAATATGAATTTCCTTCCGTATGATATTTGCTCAGCCGAAATTCGGCCTAGGTTTTGTAAGTTGTCTGAGTGTAATCACCGTCGTGAATGATGGTTGCCGTGAGGGACTGTACAGTTGGGGTGCCTCAAGTGCTCCAGTGCCACTGACTCACCAGATTCCTATTCCGTTAGACTGGTCAGCCAGCCAACCCACAGACCGTTCTAAATCACTTCTAGCCAAACTTAGTAGTTCTCCTGGTTTGGGGAAACGAAAGCATATCGAAATAGGAGGTGCCATAAATTTGCCACCTCAAACTTGTCCTACTGTAATTAGGACACCCAATATACGGTATTCAATTCTGGAATTTGGCATATATGGATTCGGCCATCCCAACCAGATATTGTTTAGCTAGGGAATACATATACACAAATATACCTTGCCTTTGTCGAACATTGCATCTGAAGGTTGAATAAATCTGTGTTAGAGTTATTTCTAGATAACTATCGAATCCTGCTCGTTCCAGAATGGAGACCCACATGAAAAAGGTAATCGGCGTTCAATCAGGCATCAATAACTCTGTGAAATTTTTTTCGGTGGTATGGTGATATGACTCTATACTGCGACAATAACTCCAAATTATCTGCAGCTGTATGAACGGGCTCATCGGAAATATAATCGAACAAAGATTAGTTCATCCTAATCGATTTATGGTTCTACTTTCTAACTCGCCCCCTCCCCCCCACCTCCGCGCATCCCCTTCCTGATACTCAAACAGGAATTGGAGTCTCGCATCAATCGGATGGCCGATGAACAGTATGAACAACAACGCAAATCGATCGATGATATACGAGACGAAATGCGTCAGGGACTACAAACCATGCATGACACGATGACCAATATGAAGTCGGTGCTGGAGAACAAAATCCGCATGTCCGAAGAGAATTTACAAATCGAATTGGCCCAGCTGCGCAAATTGGTTGTCCTTGTTTAAGACGATTGTTTATTTGGTTTTGTTTTTAGGCATAACTTGTGGCGTACAATGGCCGGTCCATGATAATCATTATCATCGTCATCATCAACATCATCATCATAATTTTAATCGGCTTCACAAATATCACAAACACGTGTGAATGGTTTTCGGAAACTTTTGTGATATCATGCGCGAGTGCATTTTTTAATACAATTCATTTCGAACCTCTCCCTACCTCCTCATCAAATTTGATCTCTTATTATTTTTTCCCTCGGTCTTTTTTACTCTCACTGATAAACACTGTGATTAACCTGATCAAGTTCACCTTCAATACCAGTGCATATCAGCCGATATAAGAAACAAATCAGATTGCCAATGACAAACTATTATGAATATCAGTGTTTACAACTCATCTTTATTTTCAGGAACCAAATACAAAGAACCTATATCGATCGATCCCTGTTTTTTGTTGTTTCTTTTTGTCTTGTACATCCCCCTAACCCACTTCATACTGAGAATGTCTAAGTTCATCAAATACAATGACATGAGATTGAATTTATTCATCATTCATTATTTTCGTATCCAGAAATTTGAATTCAGGGAGCGTAAGCGACTAAGCGCCCCAATGATAACCCCTGTAACTGGGGTAAGTATATTTCTGATGAGTACAAGTCCAGAATTATAAGAATCCGCGCGAATCGGTTCAGCAAAACGTAGTGTCAAATGCACGTTTACTTTATGAATCAATTTCGCGACATAAACTTGATTGATCGCCGGACGTTAGCTCGTTATTTACAAATGTTTCCATCAGTGAAATGATTAAGTGAAAATGCAGTTACGTGCAAAGTAACAATATAGATTGGGGTATTCCTTCACGTTAAATAAAACAACTGCTTCATTTCGGTATGTATATTGTTCAACCTATCAGCAAAAGGATCGTGAGGCCATTGGGTCTCCGTTGGGACCGCTTTTAGTGGACTTATTCATGACACTCAATTCACACAATTGAAGCGTTGAGTTCTCTTTATCCATTTCATCAAAATACATGTTAATATTTCGTTCCATCTTCTCAGTTGATGACTTAAAACAAACAGGTACATATAACACATGGGATTAATCAGTTATGATAAACGAACGTGTGCAAGCACACAAAGATTACTGAATTTAGAAGTAAAAGGTCAACTCCACGATAAGTGGACTGCTTGGATCAAAAACTTCTGTGCGCATAAGGTCGGGTGATGTAATCGAATAAGCAGTGCTTCACTAATCGCCAAAAGTTTAGCATTGCGATTACGTAATAGTGGTTTGAAAGAAGAATTTGTGTCAACTGTGTGTCTTGTTGCCATGACAAGTTTTGCAACAGATGATCCTGGATTTCTTACAATCACTTGGTCATCATTTATCGGTTGCATCATCGATTTCACCAACCACTTTGGAATATGTTCGGCCATCCGTTGTGATAGCTGACGGTTTGTTCTGCCTATGTATGCATCACCGCAAAAGCTAGTTGAACTGGTATACAGTGTGTAAGACGGAACTGGTTTGCCAGTCATGTTTAGGTTTGTCCAAATCAATTCCACTAGTGGAGGCAATGAGTCTGAGTTGAGCAGCTGGGAATGCACGGTCTAGAGATGACCTCAACTTCTGGGGCACACCATTGTAAATATGGTCAGCTTTGAACGCAAGCTTGGTGTAGATGGCCTCTTTATTGACGTTTTCGGATGAGTTACCTTTTGGGTAACCATTGTTTAGCAATGTTTTCCTTAGGAAATCGTCTTCTTCCTTCAGTCTATCCACTTACCGCGGACTTGACCTTTTACTTCTAAATTTAGTAATTTTTGTATGCTTGCACACGCTCGTTCACCATAATTGATTAATCTCATGTGTTATATACGTGCCTGTTTGTTTTAAGTCAACGACTGAGAAGATTAAACGAAATGTTAACATCTCGCGACTTTTGTCTTCTTCACACATTGTTTATTATTGAACGCATCGATTCCCGTGCTCGTGGAAGAAAAAGAGAACTATTTAGGAGAAATAGGTTTTGACTTCTATTTCTCATTGCGGACATGTACATGGACAGCAGCGACAACACGCAGGCATTTGAAACTGGAAATAACTAATCTCACACAAACTGATTGAAACAAAATACACGCTGGTTGTTTCGAGCTCGGCCGCACGCATATACGCACACACGCTCGCGCGCGCGCGCGCACGCACTCGCTCTCGCAATTTTTCGCTGACTCGGGCTCTGGCGTTTGCGGTCTGCGACTCGACCACTATTCATCATCCTCGTATCCGTCATCGAGCCAGAACATTGGCGATTGAGCTTGATCGAAATAGGTTTCTACACTCGTCTTCGGATCGTCGAAATCTGAACCGAGCGGGCACATAAGAAGCGACGGGAGGGAAGGACAGAACGCGTGAGGCGATAGGAACAGTGGAAGGAATGCGTAATACGTCATGTACATTGGAAAAAGAAACAGATGCTAACAAAACCAAAGTGTAAAAAGATTAGTACAGCGAGTGAAATAACACCCACAAGCACAGATTATGTTGGATTATTTCCGTTTGTATGATAAATAGCCCCGGGGACTCCCACCGCATCCGATTCTGGTCACTGTCTGACGCGAAAGCATAAAATCCATCAATGAATACTAACTTATAAACAGACTATACACACGTGCTCTTGCCGGGGATTAC